GCCTGATGACGTCACATAGAAAGATTACATCTTTTTACAGATCATTCGAAAAGACGGAATATGTTTGCCTGCATATTGTTTATTTAGAGAAAAAGATTCCACCACCAAATCTCGTGTAATACGATATGTATCCACTCTCGACAGTTAAATTTTAAATATTTAAAAGGCTCGGCGAGCCTCGCGTTTTAAATTTGAAAATTTAACTGTCTCGAGTGGATAAATATCGTATCACACTCGATGCAGTGGTAGAATCTATATTTATCACCAGATTTTAGATATTTATCTATTATACATTTGAGAACAAAAATTTGATCAGAGGTGCGTTATCCCTTTGAGAAACCAATTTTGGTTTTATGTATAACCACTGTTACTGTTGTTGTAAGATTGGGTTAATAAGAGTAAGTGCAAATTAAATAATTTAAACTATCTAAGATAATTAAGTAAATTTTTCACCACAAGAAAAGAACAGAAAAAGAAACTAGAGGCTCTACATAGCCTGTGCTGCTCACCTACGTCTATGTGCATCTTTCACAGTGTGGACTACTGTTTACAGTTTCTCTCCATCTCATTTGGTTTTTGTTCAAGACACAGAGGAGGGTAAAACAAATTGTCATTTAAGGGCAATTATCTTATATTTTTTTACAACAGACTATGCCCTGATTGTAGATCTTGTCTTACTGATCATGATTGTTGTTCAAAGTTTTTATCTGTCTTTTATAGTTTTCAAGATAATAGGCGAGGAACCCAAAAATAGGAAAAACATCGTCATTAAAGAGCAATAACTACAATAAGCAGTCGACTGAAATGCAATACCTTTAATATGGAGTTGTTTGAAGATTTCCGCTATAACTGACTTATTTGGAGATCTTGTCTTGCTGATCATATTTCTCTCTATCTATTATAGTTTTCAAGATAATGGGTAATATGATTTTTTTTTAGAATGAATCGTAATTTGAAGGAAATAACTTCAATAAAAAATTATCTAACAGTCAATAGATAATAGGTAAAGCTCAACATTTTCAACATTCCGGTCCCTGTCAGATTTTCTCTATTAAGCTTTCGAAATAACAAAACTTTTACTTTACCTCAAATGTTTTATTTTTAGCCATGTCGGCCATGTTGGTTGGCAAGCGGTGTCATCGAACAGATTTTTTTTTTTATATATCAAATAACAAAATGATGATTGTTGCCATTTTATGGAAAATTTGGCTCCGTAGTTTCAGAGGAGACGATCACTGTAAAAGTTAGCGGACAACGATGATGACAACGACAGACGACGGACGCCAAGTGATGGGAAAAGCTCACATGGTCCTTCGGGTAAGGTAAACTAAAAAAGGGGGTCCATGTCCCAAGTGCCTTTGACCACGATCCTACTTGACCACTTAGTGTATTGTGTGAGTTAATATGAGAACATTGGTGAAACTTTTCTTTATATTAGATTGTTTCAATACGGCATAGGTAGAAATGATAACTTTTATATTGTGTATGACACAAAATGTCTATGTACAGTTGTGCATGTAACGGTTTGGTTTATATTGTTAAAAGAAGATTTTAGGTATAAGTTTAAAATAGAGCAACCTAACGAAACAAGAAGGTAATATATCAGTAATTGCAAATGCATGTGAACATTTCTTAATGTAGATCATAGATATTTCTTTACTGATTTTTTTTTTCAATTATCAGTACTTAAAAGTGTACCTAAGATGAGCGGGATTATGCATGGCCAGAGAAACATCTGTCAATTTTTAAAAGAAGACACGAAAATTTGTGTACCTCTTTTTTTGGTTTACATATTTCGTTTGATTTTTCTTTCAAGCATGACTTTTAGAGAACATGTTGCTAAAATACAAAAACATTATTAGTGTTTAGTTATTCTGGTTTTGTTAACTCCCCTTTCGACAAATGGAGACGGTAAAACAATAAATATACTTGCTTATTATGTCGAGAACTAGGCATTGCGCCTTCGGGTATGGACTTGGGTATAAAGCCCATTCCACCTTATGTTATCAGTTGTTGAATATCACAAAACGGATTCAGATATCCCACCCTATACCAAGGGTATGTTCTTAATTACTATGGTTAAACCCCAATTGAATTATATAGATCTCTGATTTTGTTATCCTCTTATAGGAGGATAACTAAATATTAGGATAACAAAATAAGAGGTCTATATTTTAATTTGATTGGTTAAACTCTTCCAATTTGGAAGCCAATTTTTCAAAAAATATAATTTGGTTACGAGATTACAAATTGAAAATCGTCATTACTAATTTTGTAATTCGTTATCACAGATTTGATAACAAATCTGAGGAATAAGTTACTCGTGATCACGGAGTTATTTCAGTTATCACATGTTGTACTTTTCGTTCTCACGAATTAAATTGATGATAACGAATCTGTGAAATTAGTAATCACATTTATGTATTTCTTCATCAAGAATAAATTTCGTTATAATATATTTTCAAACCCGTGGTAACGAATTTTTTTTAAATGCAAAAACGAATTCAATTCGTTATCACGAATGAAATCTGTGACAAATCATGAATTACAAAAATATTTGAACACTAACTTCACAGATTTGGTAACACGAAATTTAATCTGTCATAGCGAATTATATATTTCTTCATAACGAATTATATAATTAATGATAATGATTTTATCCGTAATCTCGATTTCTTTAAGTTTATTAACTCGAATTCGTAATAGGTTGTTGGTATATCCTAAATGGACCTCTGTATTCTAGTGTACCGCTCGCTTTGTCCCTTGGGGACATGTACCGTCGCTTATTGGAAATTGTTAAATTTAATATATGTGCCTGTTTCAAAGTCAGGAGCCTGTAATTCAGTGGTTGTTGTTTGTTGCTATATATCATATTTGTTTTTCTTTTGTTATTATGTGCATAAATATGATAAATCAGGCCGTCAGCTTCTTATAACTGACTATGTGGTAAGGGTATTGCTCATTGTTAAAGGCCGTACGGTGACCTATGTCATTTTGTCTCTTGTGGAGAGTAGTCTCATTGACAATCATACCACAGCTTCTTATTTTTATAGTCCACTAAACTGTTCATCGGCACATAATTCATAAGGGCTCCGAAGACAAATACATAGTACCCTATAGTATCAACTCTGACTGTTTGTCCGTCCGTCAGCATTTTTTATGTCGTTACGTAAGTCACGAATGTCTCGACCGATTAACTTTAGTGTTGAAACCTATCAAAGAAAGGCCATTTCGATTTATTTAATAAATTTGAACAACCTCTGAATGATTACAGGCTCCTGTAATGCTGTATATGTATATACGTATTGCCAATTTTCCGTTTGGAAAAAATGGCAATAGTCAAATATTCCCCCGGTTGAAAATGAGATTATGCCAGTTTTTTTCGCCGAACGTGGAGGGGTAGGGGTGACTGGCATGGACAATGGATATAAAACACCGGGCTAGTTTTCCTGTCAGTTAAGTAGTTACCTCCCTTGTTAATGTGATATAGTAATAAAATATATATATTTTTACCATCTGTAAAGTATTTTTCACTGTATAATTTTAATTTGTAATCAATTTAATATTTCAATATTACAATTTAGTTCTTATTATAGATTAAAACAAGAAAATTTGAAAGTGTTTGTTTCATTAATCACCTTATTTCAATTCATAAGTCAGGCGGTGTATTTTTTCTACGTTACATTGAGGTCTTCTAGTTAACATTGCGTACATTAAAATGAACTTCGTTGACATAATTACTTTACGATGTCTTAGAAACGAAATATGAAAGCATAGTACTGTGATGATAAATACTCGATTTAGTTTTTGTTTAGTGATAGCAAAAACGAAAAACGAAAACACTTCTGTTTTTCTATTTTTGTTTTAAGATCTCAAAAACGAGAAACGAAAACACTTTCGTTTTTCTATTTGGATTTTGAGAAATGAAAAACGAAAAACAAAAATACTTTTGTTTTTCGTTTGGTTTTGTGAGAAACCAAAAATGAAAAACTAATTATCAAAACGAAAAACGAATGCACGCAAATGTACACGGACCTGCCTCGGCTTGATATGGAAGTTATAAACGTGATACTAAAAAAACCGCATGATATTATCAGATAATTGCATCGCATTTTTCATATCAGATGTATTATCAGCCCAATGTTAAATATCAGCCCAAAAGCTGAAGGCTCAATGGCTGTTCTTGACTGCGGGCTGATAATACTTCCGATATGAGAAAATGACATCTTATGATCTTTTTACGTAAATTTAATGCTATTATCATACTGTAAAAATTATAAGTTAACTGGTCTAAACTCTAAATTTATAATAATTTCTATCTATCAAACTATTAGAAAAGTAAAATAACAAAATTACCGACCTCATAGGATAATTCAAAACGGAAACAACTGTCATATTTCTGACCTGGTACAGGCATTATTTTCCTTAGGTAAAAGTGGTGGGTAATTCCTGGTTTTATAGCTAGCTAAGCCTCTCACGTCTACCACAGTCGCATGGAATTCCATTATATTGACATAATATGTAAAGATGTCAAATACTGGGGTACAGCATCTTAATTGTGTTATTATCGTAATCACAATAGAAAAAATGATTATTTCAACAAAGGGAAACAATAATGGCATATAGAAACTCTATGGACAAAAACATGAGCATATAAACGACTAACGCATTGAAGTTAATTGCATAAATTGATTTCAATCGTTGAAACCTTTAAGATTAAACACCACTACTAACCGTGTATTGAAATAAGCCCCGCCTAGTAACCTAATATAGAATATACACGTTCTCCACGCGGTTGCTTTTAACCAATCATATTCATACAAATGTATCGGAGATAAGATTAAAAAAAAATATTGAGACATCGTATTCTTTATTTGAAAGTGTATTTGTTAAATGTTGAAAGCCTTGAACTTCTGAAATGTACGTTTGTTCTGATTATAACATCAACTAAAGCGTAATTTATTTGAATTCGCATATTATGTTAAACGTTATATCTTCAGGAGCTGTTATACCAATAAATTTGAAAATTTCATTCAAAGAAAATTACACAGTAGATCTAGAAGATTCGCAATCGGACACATACAAGAAAAAAGAGAAAACAGTGAGAAATTCCGTAAGTGCAGAATTGATATTGACGAAATGAAATATTGAAAAATGACATATTTAAAATTGACGACTTGACATTTACAACGAAAGTAGGATCGAGTCACAGTTGTTCCGAAAATGTACAATTGTAAAGCTGTAAGCATCTCATTTGTCGTAAAGTTTTGTTCTCAAACGAACTTTTTGTCTAAATCTCTGGTTAAAAGACAAGAAATGATTCATAAATAAACTTAATCTTTCGTAACCTTTAACAAATTCAACAATCTTTGAAATATTGAGTGAGTGAACACCATCTGTATGCTGAAATGTGAAATCAAAGAAGATACAAGGTTCTTTTTATTATTACTGTGAAGCTCGTGTATGACGTCTACCTCATAAGAATAAAGTCACTAGTCGAAAAGAAGAGTGTTCTCGTAGAAATTATTGTCATACTTTTGGGAGAAAATAAGATATGACTGTCCCTACTGACCTTTTAGTTTATTATTCGTTTATGCAGTAGTTCACTCATCAGAAATATGTTGTGTATCACTAAAAATATGTTAGACAATACAATAGTTTAAAAAGGAAAAAAGAACTGTACGACGAACTTGGACAACACAAACAACCTGACAGAAAGCATTTATGTTCTATAAGTTAAAACTAACAATCAAACAACATGTTTTTAAAAACCTCATGGTACTTTTGTCTGTGAATATTAAACGAATTGTTAAATTTCAGTCACTAGACAGGTGTCAGCAAACACCTCGTCCTTAAATGGCTTGTATCAATTCTAAAAATAGATAAAATTCTTTACCTCACACACACTTATATCTTTTTTTTTTAACCGGACGAAAAACAGATGTCACTACAGTATGAAAATTGATGTTAAGTAGATATTTGAAAAGATATGTGACTGACATCTTTATTGTGTTCTTATATAGCTCACTAAAGTGTATGAAAAAGTTACTGGGTTCCAAAGTATAACCATCAAAAGATTCATGTAAGTATTTTGTTCCCCTTTGTATATTACTCAAATATATCTTACATGTTACACATGCAAATAACACTTAATAAATTGTTATGCGTTCGAAGCGTTTTTCTGGACTAACCTTCAAAAGGAACGCTATGAGTTAATGAAGCATAAGTAACACGTTAAGACAGAAATTACCCAAGAATTTTAATTTTAAAAGACAATAAATACTTCTTTAGAGCTTCATTGTATAAATGTTTGTAAACAATTGTTAGTTTGATTGTTTGCTAGGTGATTCGTATAGTCTTTATCTATCACACCATAGATATAAGAAGATAAGTCACTTAGTCATATACTGTCAAAATGCACTTGCTGAACGAAAGTTCAACATATTGTAGCCAATTACGAAATATGGTCATATTGACTGCACGATTATGTACACTTCTTTTGAAATTTTAAGTAAGCAAACTACATAATTATGTTCAACGAAAAAGACATAAAAAAAGTTGAATTCGAAAGAGCTTATTACAGACCTTCTAAAATTCAAACTGACCATTATTCCGTGCGTTCATCGTGTATCGTGCGTGTTGCGTGCGTGTATCGTGCGTGTATCGTACGTGTACCAATCGTGCGCTCATCATTCATCGTCCCGTGTATTTTCCGTGTAACGTGCGTGCATCGTGTATTCTTAATCGTGTATGGTGCGTGTATCGTGCGTGTATCGTGCGTTCATCAATCATTCATTCTTAACCGTGTATCGTGCGTTCGTCAATCGTGTATAACTGTGTACATCAGATAACGTGCATTTGTCAAACGTTCATCTCTAATCGGGTAACGTTCATTCATTGCGGTTTTTATATGATGGTCGGTTATAGAGCTCATCAAAGCTTATATTTTATTTCACGGTTAAAGTGTATATATATGTTCCGACTTTAAATAAAATTTACATTCATACTTACTTTCTTGTGAACACTTAATTAACTTCATCGTACATAACGTTCATACAGATTCATGAATTTTTGTGTAAAATTTATTTATCATCTGTAAACATTTCGTGGTTATTCAGTGAATCTTGGCTGGGACTGACACATTTTAATATAATGATACATGTTCTACGTACAAACAATAACATGATGACATTTCTACGACAGAACAGTTAAAATTGGAATTTCTATTCAACTGAGCGAAATGGGCTTAAAAATATACTGTTGGCCAACTGTAATTTGTTAAAAAATATTCCGCCAATTAAAAACAACAGTGCTTTTGGCAAATTTAGATGTGGGGTAGCTCCACTAAAAATAGAAACTGGAAAGTATGAAAGAAAAGAAGTCCACGAGATGAAATGTGTTGTAGCTCTACTATTGAAGATGAACTTCATGTCATTTTAAAATGCCCATTATATGTTGATTTAAGACAAATTATGATACATTAAGCTAAACATTTTAATGAACATTTTAACCTCTAATTATCAGATAGCGAAAAATTTATATTTTTATTTAATAACGGCAATGTTGCTGCTATAGTTGCCAAAAACATCAACAATATTTCATTGAAAAGAAACGGCATTTTATTTCCTAGTTCTCAAAGAAAAAAAGTTTTATTTTCATATAGTACAGGTGGACACTGTAAATTTTAAATGTAAATGAGTAAATATATTGTGTCTTAAAAGTCTCTCATTAATCTTTTTAAGATTGGTACATACAATGCAAATGTTTTAATGTTTTATGTTTATTTCTGTGATTCTCATTTTATGTTTGTATGTGGTGAGACTATAATAAAATATTGAATCAGTATTAACATGATTAATGTTCAACTTGAGTCATTTCTCCAATGTTGAACAATGCAAGATTATAATTCTTCGCTTATTTGGCAAATTCATAATCTACTAAATATTCAAACATTTAAGTTTTGATAAATACCATTACAAATATAATTTTTGTCTTCGTTTCTGATGGTCACGTGCAGGTAAGGTTATTCCATTGAGAAAATACAATATACAAGATTGTCGGGTAAATTTGGATTGCGGATTAAGATTTTAGGTGTCAAACTTGAATTAACAAATTAAACTGAGGCGAATTTAACACGAATATGTATTTTCTCTTCAACAGTGTTTTTATTCTCTGTTCTTTATTTTCATTTAAAATAAGCTAAATATGTTTTGTGGAAAATTGAATACAAATAAACATATGTATTTGAAGGCATTTTTTTAATTAAACAAGTATAAGATCACGCAAATATATCCCGTATTCCTTAAGAAGGATTTTAAATTGAGGAACTTTTTAAACTTGAAATTGTGTTTACGAGTTTAAGATATTCTCTTTTATTTAAATTTTTTGATAAAATAGTTAAATCTGGGAACAGTATATCTATATATGTTCCTGGTTAAATATATTGTATTATCATAACAAGTCTTTATTTAAATGGAATAAACATGGAACACTTTCACAGATTCACTTTTCATTGTGTTCATGGTTGCATATCAAGGACACCGTTTTTAATGTATGTCTAAAAGATTAATATCCGAAAAAATAATTCACAATAGTACTTTGTATTAAAGAATGACGGATTATTTTACCATGGGGGTATTTTTTGTTCCGTTACTGAGGACATTTTTTTGTCCTTTATGAATCCATATGACAAATTTGACTCCAATAAGGATAAATTTTATCTTATAGAAAAATCGGTAGTTTTTATCCGATAGATTTTGTGTTCATCTTTATCGGATATAAAAGATTGAAAAATACAAACAATTAATTGAAGTTTCGTATGCATCAATCACGATCCAGCAACTTTTGACTAGTATAAAGGGTTGCCTTGGTTTTATAGCTCAAAACGGTATCATTTGTTTTGCTTTACATTGGGTTAAATAATGAAATGTATGTTTCAGAAATTTACACAAGTTTGATTTCGGCTTTGACTCCCGGGGACACTGTCGTTTACAGTAAAAGACGAAAATCTACACATGTACGTTCTTATAAAAAAGAAGTTGTGGTATGATTGCCAATGTTCATCATTATATCATAATTATTGTACTCCCCCTAATAATGAATCTATAATATATGCCACTGAACGTTAAACGATCAACTATTATTTCATCCATCTTATCCTTTTAGTTTTGTGATAATTTGCATATCAAATACATGAAACAACAGGGGCGGATCCAGTCATTTTAAAAAAGGGGGTTCCCAACCCAGGGCAAAAAAAAAGGGGGGGGGGTTCCAACTATATGTCCCCATTCAAATGCATTGATCGTCCAAAAAAAGGGGGGTTCCAACCCCCTGAACCCTCCCCCTGGATCCGTCACTGAACAACTGCAGAGTTTCACTAAAGTTAGAAGGCCGATATTATTGCACATATAAAACAGACATTAACATCGATCCCTACGTTTTGATCCCCTCACAAAACAACACTTTATAAATTTCATGCATCTATAACGCTTTTCTGGATTTACTTTCACTAGGAACGCTCAATGCTAAATATTTGAAAGCCAAAGAATGTATAAAATAGATAGGAGTGTAGAGCTATATGACCAATAAAGGGCCTATACACATTCATAACATTCTGTGTATTTATGTGTCTGTCAAAAGCACGTAGTTCAGTGGTTTTCGTAACATCAATTCTGTTATATACATGTATTTGGGCTTTTTTTGTGGCAAGATACATGTAGCTTTGAAATAAAGAAGGCCGTAAGTTTGCTCAATTGAATTGTTTCATATTTTTTTCATGTCGGGGCGGGGCCTTTAATAACCGACTTTACAGTTCCCGTATTTTTTTCATTATTGAAGGTCGTATAGATATAACTGCTAGCATTCCTCTTGATTTGAACTTTCTTGAATAGTTGACTCACTAGCAATTATACCACATTTTCTTATTTTTACATAAGCCTTCAATCCATCAAAAGCCAATTTAGTCTGCTGTAGCTGAAACCTACGTTTCTTAAAAAAAAATCTAAATTTATATATTGACAATTTAAGAAATGTTTGTCATAGATATCTGTTCGTGATATAAGTATCAAAATATTTTAGCTATGAAGATGTGTAAACCCTTAAATAAACTCTATTTCTTTGGGCAATTCCTACGGGAATTAAAATAATAAAAACCATTATTAAAAAATCGGAATATATATGTGTGTATGACTCGGAGGTGCAATGGAGATCATAAAGTTTCAAGGCCACGCGTGAAGTGCACTGGTCTGCGCCGAAGTGCGATGAGCTGTTCGATGGTTTGCAATGGTTTATATAACGCGGGATCATGACCTAGATTAAAGTCTACAGATGTGAAATTATTATGAGCAGTATATTTGTTTCAATGTCAGTATATAAAATCATTTACTAGTGTTATTGTCTATGAATGTAATAGTTAAAGTTGCCACGTACTAATTTAGAGATCGTCCTATTTGATGTTTTGCATGTGGAAATTATTCTTGCTTCAACATGTATCTTTACTTAATTTGTTCCTCTAATGAGATCATCATTTACCGTTATATAATCATAAGAATAGTTTCACGGTGGACCCGTATGTATTGAGGGAATGACACTTCATCGTACGTAAAAACAAATCTTTCGTATATTTCCCGTTTCACAGTCCTACATGTATATTGAATTTTACCCACAACTCAGAAAGTTGACCAGCGCGGGGTATGCTTAAACCTCTTATTCTAGATGCCAGGTAACTTACTCGTGTTTATGTTGGATTGCTGTCTGATTGACGAATATCCGTCATTTTATATATATATATATATATATATAACAAACAAATTTAAATTATATATATAAATATATATAAAGAAAAGTTAAGTAGAATCCGTATGCTGGTAACATATAAGAAAATTAATAAAAGATAACAACGGTTTCCATTCATCACTTTTACTAGCGCTTTCACTGCTTTTACAGATCTTCAGGTAATATATATAATATATTTAAATTTGTTTTTAGGGATGCATCCAGTTGCTCCTTTTCATGTAAAATATATTTCCGTGAAGTAATCTCAAAAGATTACTCACTTCAATAAAAAATAAATAAGGGAAATGAAACCTCTTCTCGCATGTTGCACTTTGTGTAATTGTTCTCTTCGACAAAATACTGCCTTGAACTCAATTTTGGTATAAATATAGAGAAGCCACATTTGGTTCTTAAATGGATATTTTTTAAACACCTAAAGCTAGGTAAAGCCTATCTCTTGATATAGGCTCTTAAATTCGGCAACTTTTAGAGACCGACCGTGCTTGGGCTGTATAGCCAGTCAAGGTAGCTAAACTCTCATTATCCTTTTAGAGATTTTCTGAAAATACGATGGTTACTGTCTCATTAGAAACTAAAACCTTATCAAATATGGTGGCCTTCGGCTGCCATCTGCTCTTTTCGGGTTGTTGTCTCTTTGACATATTCATCATTTCCATTCTCAATTTTAAAATAACTAAAAATATGATAAACAGTTGTCAGATCAATATTCATTTAACAAGCCAGTGCGTTGATACAGGTTATATTCTACTGAATTTACTATATCCGTTATTATTACGTAATTATATAAGTCCCGTGTCCAGGTAAAAATAACAATTTGTGGTTTGTATGTCAGGTGAAAGTGACAACGGGTGGTATGTATACTAAAATGTTTATCGTCTTCCATTATACATGAGGGTGTGGATGGGGGTTTATAGAATAGAAAATTATTGACCAAAAATTAAAGAATACAAAAAATAACCAGACAAATATATAGAAAAGAAAATGATGAGGTACTAGAAAATATGGAATAAAGAATGATCGACAAAAGGTATAACGATTAGAAAAAAATGCCTAAAATGATAGAATACAGAAATAATGAATCCTTCAGACCCTCATAATCTGACGATGACATTTAGCTTTAGGACAATTATGGGCATGTGATACAGTTTTAGAACCACAGTGATTTTTTTTTTATACAAAAGTTCACATATATACAAGCTAATTTTTACAAAATCAATTTGTATATGTAATAAAAATTATATATCCATGTGCTAAATTTAAAAGACAAATGGGTTTGAATTATTCGACATTAAAAAATTTTACTTATAACATTTCGATTTCTTGGACATTTTTGTCCTTTGAACAGACATCCTTAACTTTTTTGTTTCAAAAGATAAAGATTTGCGGATTTCGGTAAAGAGATTAGGAATATCTTCGTTATAAAATTGGGTCTACATTTGTGTAACAATTCTTTATTAATATTTAATTTTTGTGAAAAGAAATTGATACAAGAAGAAAAAACGGTATTTTTGTTGTATATTTATCTAGTTAAAAAAAAGTCGGTAATTTCTTCATAAAAGTTGCAACGAATAATGTTCATACAGTATCAAGCAAAATGTCATGTCTAAAATGAGGGGGCCATAACTGATAACACTTTTTCCTTAAAAAAATGAAAAAAATAATTATTTGGATAAGAAAATAACCCAGATATTTAGATATATTAGAATAAAAATATTTTTTTAATTTTTTAAAAATCATTTAATATTCATCGGTTTATGATTAAATGAAAAATATAGAAAATTGTTAAGTTGTTTTTAAGGAAGGAAAATAATGTTTGTCCCGAGAAAAATCCCCCCCCCCCCCTTATAAATGATCATTAATTTACCTAAGTGGGGGCTTAAATTTGGAGACCGATCGCGAGGCCTGACTGCCATAAACAACAGATAACGAACAGCAAACAGTGGATACACCAATTGATATGTATGAAAGACAACGGCGGACACAAAATGATTGCACTGAATAATTTCAACTACCATTGAGATCGTTTTTTTCAAATCTCCTTATCAAATTAGAAATGCATTTTAAAACACCTTGGGATATCTTTTACAGTTTGGAATTGGAATTGGAATTAAAAATTGCATTTCCCAAAGAGTTTCAGGTAAAACCCCGAGAATCTCACCTCCTAGAAATTTGAAGTGCCAGGATGTTTGAAAATATGTATGAATTTTATTACATACTTGAAATTGTATAAGGAATATAAAAAGATTCAGTATGTTTACTGTACAAACAAACAACAGACACCAAGTGATGGATACAATTGTGGCTTATATTGTTTAATTCATTTTTACTGAGAGCAAAATTTGATTGATTTATAATTCAGTGGTTGTTTAAACGTCCAGTGGCAAAAATTTCATGCATATTGAGGACGAAAAGTCGTTTCAGAAGTACATTATGAAGTATTTGGTATTACAAATGTTTAAATTTTCTCATTATTTGGTAAATTTCATTTTCTTAGCTATTTCTAATTAATTTGTACGAATCAGATTTTTCTGACAAATTATATATTTTGCTCTAAATTAACTCATACGATTCTTATAATATAAGGAACATTGCAACTTAAGTAAAAAAAAAGAGATTATGATTGTTTAATCAGTTGTTATGTAAGTTCGCTCGTGTCAGTCGGATCACTGATTTTCGGCAATATCAAGGAAAAACCGGCACGATCCAAATATTGTTCAACTACTCATTTAATGGTGATTCTTTTTCTTTAAAAATTGGAATTTATGTAATAAAAATCTATCTATCTCTACCATAGTATGAAAACAGAGTACAAGTAACACGTCCTTTCTAGTCCTTAGTGGCATATTATAAGTCCTTAGCAGTGTTTAGACGTACAGGCAGAAAACAGTCGAAGGCCACCAATGGGTAGAAAATCCCGCACCGAAGGCGTTTTCAGCTGGTCCCTAAACAAAAATGAATTTTAGTTCAGTGATAATGGACATCATACTAAACTTCGAAACATACAAATCTAAAATTTGTATACCCTTATAGAATAAAATGGCTTTGAGAACCGTGTATTAAGCGCTTATTGTTCATTCGTCAATGAATCATTCACCGTGCGTGTATCGTGCGTGTATCGTGTGTTCATCATTCATCGTGCATCGTGCGTGTATCGTGCGTTCATCATTCATCATTCATTTTTCGTTAATCCTCCGTGTAACGCTCATCGCTCATCGTGCGTGTATCGTGTATCGTGCATTCACCGTGCGTGTATCGTGCATTCACCGTGCGTGTATCGTGCGTGCGTGTATCGTGCGTGTGGTCAGTTTGAATTTTAGAAGGTCTGTACGAATGTTTATTTTTTATTTATTTTTTTTTTTTATTTTAATTGTTTTTTACATTTGTGTTGTTCGTTACTTTTTTATATGCTTTTTGTTATATACCACCGCTTCATTCTTTTGTATTGAAGAAAGGGAAGTATAATAGCTGATTTTGCAGTCAATATTCGTCTGTTTCTACCTACTTCTAACTCAACACAGATTGGAATAGAATTGAAATTAAAAACCGAAGAATTATCAAAGACTGGATCTCTTGGCGACGTAGCATTATCGAAACATTACATTGAAGTTATTACTGTCAGTATATTAAAAAACGGTATGTACCACCCATAAGCTTAATATTACAAGGTTTACAAAACGGAATAACAGTTGCGCTTGATTGCTAAGAATTCTTCCTATCTTAAGGCAGATATAAAGGAATATGATTTGGTGCACCGGATACATGTATATCGAGGAAATTTGCTATTAAGTATGTTAAACTTTGTGTTTTAATCAATGCCATAAACGTACACAGAAAAGTATGGTAATTAATACACATTTGATATGCAAAATAAAATTTGTAGAAGCTGATTGGACCCCGGTGAAGCCATATAATCTTAAATTCCAATAAGTTATTGATTTAAACGCCGTCAATGAATTTTTACGTGACTTAATAAGTATCCACTATGAACACCCAAACAACTTCCGGTAGCGTACACGATATCAGTATACACAATACCATCTAAAATGAACCATTTATATATGATTTGTAAACAATGTACTTCGAAAACTGGTAAACATTGCACCACACATAGTAGGTGAACCCAGTTTCTTGCTTTAAGCATGTTTTAGAGAAGCATTTCATGTTTTGTTTTGTCCTTTCTCATAATAAACAAAAATAGCCTTATGATTTTGTACACTACACGCGCGTTTCATCTACAAAAGACTCATCAGCAATGTTAGAATAAAAAAATCGAAAGGCCAAATAAAGTACGATTTTAAAAAGCATTGGGAACCCGAAAATCCGAAAAATTTGCCAAATTCTTCTAAGATAATTCATTCCTAGGGTACAAAATCCTTAGTATTTCTAAAACAATTCTACATTTTGTAAGCAGTTTATTTCATGATACATGTTACTCATGTTAACCCTTTGGTCAACAAAATATGTGTTGTTTTGGCAACTTTGTGCTTACAGTGTTGATAGCAGATGTTTTATAGCCTCCGTTGTTATAAATCATCACGTATCTAGATTACGAATAAAATAAAGAATATATTGAAAAGAAATCCTGTCTATTCTTCGCAACCATATGGTAAGCTCCCTGCATTTTATGCTATTTGGGCAAATTATAGGGCATAGACATTCAGACTGAACGATATAATATTTTGTATCCAAGCAAGTAAGTTGCATGCAAGATATATTTGAAACACACAGATCCAAACACAAAAAAATTAAAGTACAAACAAATATCAAGCACATAACGTGCAATTATGCTATGATTACCATGCAATAAACAACATAACACATATGACAGTTAACTGTAAGTAACTGAGTCGAACAGAAGTGGGTGTGTCAATCATGGTCGACATTGAATGCTAACTACGTTTAAAACGCTTTTATTTGTAGAAATAAAAAGAGAGAAAAATATACAAGTTTGGGCATATGAAACTTTGATCAGGAATGTTTAAATCCAAATTAATCCAACGAAAAAAACTGCAAAATCATACAAAACTACACATATAACTCAAGTTTAAACCTCAGGGCCCGTTTGTTCAAAAGTGTTGTTAAGCTAACGCAGTCGTTAAAGTGTCGTTAGAGAGTCGTTAAATTTAACAAATTTGTTAACTGTTGTTCAAAAAATTTAACGACAAAAGTAATGTTAAAGAGTCGTTAATTTTAACAACTTCTGGGAGGTCGATTAAATATCTAAGTTATTGTTAAATATGGCCGCCTTCATGCAAGTACCTGTTCCACCTCAGAGAAAAGAAAGGTATTTTCGCCTCAAAGATGATCTTTTAATGCATTTATTATGTTCTCCTCAGCAACGCTTATTGGTTTTGGAGCAGGTCCTCCTCCTGTCTTGTTTCTCTCCCTCTTTTCATACACAAATTATTCTTTGGCGTCTCTTGTGAGGTTTCTGAACTTGGTTTTCACAGTCAGAACTTGCCTATAGCTCACACCAAGAGCATTCACTTCTGCAGTTATTTTTTCCCACATTCTGTTTTTTGCATCAGCTGTCACATCTCTACCGAATTTCCCCCTCAGTAAAGCCAGTTCTTCAACAACTCTCCTACTGATGAGGTTAACTTCCATACTGGAAAAATTCTGCCCTCTAATTCTTGGAATTTTCTTAGGGGGTTGCTCTTCAGCCATTTTCCAACAGGAAGTGGAGGAATTTTGGGTAATTTTTTTGGAATTATTGGAAAATGTTAAAATAAACAGTTGTTAAATTTTCTAAGCGAGGGTGGGTATGCCGTGTGTGTGGCTGTTCTTTTTTACTCCCTGTTAGATAAAGCTCAAACATTCTAATAAATCTCTAGCTTGCATGGATTTTTTCGTGAATAACCGCTAGAAAAAAATATGTTAAATTCTTTTAATTCTCAAACCCAATATTTGCCATTTTTAATTTACATGTTTTTCTCGTAAGCTACCGTCAAATCCAAAGTTGATCATGATTTCGTAACTAAGGAGCCGCCATGTTGACTTGCTGAAATCAGTAAATATGCGAAAAATGCAATAAAATAGAAAAAAAACAAAACCTACCTCAAGAATCCATTTTAATACAATATTATACGAATTTCGATGGTTCACGTAACGGAAAACCTTCAACTCTAGCGTTTTCATTTGTATGACGTCATGTTTTGAAATGACTTATATGCGCCAAAAATATTAATAGATTTTCGCGGAATTTTATTTTATTTTGATTTTGTTGATTTCTCTGAGCTCTTGCGCGTTAATTCTTTTTATTATGCATCCGAATAAGACTTGGAGTTCTTTTGTCTTTTTTTAATTACAATTTTTAAAACAATAAAATCGGCAAAGCGTTCACAAATAGGTTCCAATACATGTGGATTTAAGTGGGAGGTATATTGTAATATCCATTATTATGTATATCTCTGAGTCTCCGCTAAGTATAGATATATCGAGAATTTTATCACGGTGTTGTTTACAAAGCGAAAGAAGCACGTCATATTAGAATTCGCTATAAGGTCTAGCAATTTATGTTTCAACAATTAGTTTTTGTTATTTCTAGGAAAAATATGATATGAATCACTTGCATAAGGGTATTAAAACAAAGCAAAACAAGCATTTTTCATTTAAGTAGACTTTAATACGTTAAAAGAGTGCCCCTTTCATAATTGGATTGTTCTTATCGTGTGTTTTTTTTTTTTATTATTTCTTTTCAGAGTTGAGGGATAAGACGAACCAGAAAGACTTGTATATATGTGGCATTGGAAAAAAAAGTATAAATGGAAGTTGTGTTACCATATGTCAACAAGATATATACAAATGCGTGTATGGAAACTGCTATGCTCACTTGAATGGAACAGCCCATTGCATGTATGGATTATTTTTATCTTCAATTTTTTTTCACCTGATGAGTAACTACAAAGACAATTCATATCTGAAATTTGCGTAAAATGATAAGAATGTTCCTAATGTTTCTATAAAATCAAAACGATAACCTGTGACCTCTGGTTGTTTTAATACTATGTTACTTGACAAAGATAGCAGAAATATAAGGTTTCTATGCATTTCAACTGAAAAAAGAGAGATAACCTTCTACATTTGATTTCATATGTTGCTGACATTTAATTGATTCCGAATGCTTATTGTTCATATGCACCTCCTCAAAATAAGGAAAACTTTTGGCTGGTTCCAATTACTCAATATCACTTCTTGTGTCATATAAGTGGTACTGTGGATTTATATACTTTAGTGGGTACTATTTCGTGGATTGCGGGACACTTGCATTTTCGTTGATATTTGATTTCGTGATTTTGCCAAAATCTGCATACATTCTTTGAGAACATTTGTAATTCGTTGTACATTAGAATTCGTGGTTCCCGGGTATTCATTGAGTTTTAATAAATCCAAAGTAATTCCTAAGATTAGAAAAATATATGCTGTCAAGGACTTTTTGCATGAGAAGAGGGCTACTTATGGTTGTCCAATTCAAGGTCATATATGTGTAATTTAATGCAAAAAAACCCGTGGGTTTATCAAAACCAATATGGACCTATAACTAATAGCCGTGAATTTAAGCGTCAAAACTGCAATCAAAACACCTGCAGATGTCACCAGATTGGTTCAGATAAATCTATAAAAAAAATCACCATAATGTTTCTTAACTTTTTGCTCCATTTTTTTCGTTTCTATCGCTTACAGTGCATGCTGAATAGCATTTACAATGAATCTATTTCTATGTCAATAGTCCATGATCTCAAATAAAAAAATATAAAGTCTTTAATATGCATCATGTGTAAAGTTCAAAAGTAATATTACCAAATATATTTGCTGCGCGGCAAATTGTGCCTTTTGCTTTTGTCCTTGACCTCAATTTGCTGCCTTTGGACCAATGAACTTTTATGAAAGTTTATAGGTCTCTTTGACTGACGATTTATCAGTTACACCGACGTACGATTTATGTCGATGCCTTTGGACCAATGAACTTTTATGAAAAGTTTATAGGTCTCTTTGATTGACGATTTATCAGTTACACCGACATACGATTTATGTCGATTACAAAATGGGAAACAACTCTAATACATGTAACATGCTCGATTCGGTCAACATTGAATAGACCAAACTGGAGAAAACAAATAGCGGCGTCTTTTGCGTTTTGAGAAGTAGTGATAATAAGAGAAAACCAGTGCATATGTAGATATAACAACCGTACTGATAGTGGTTGGTTCATTAGAGTTAGTTTCAAAGGCGCAAAAGCTGTTCGATATAATATTCAAACTATCTTTTCGGCATATTGCCGTTAAAAAGGCGTTGTCACATAAACAAAAGTAAAGACAAAACTAATCTCAATAAAAGCAAAAGGTCTTTCCATGGAAAGTTTGAAAGAACTAATTACTTGAATTTTTGTTAAAATAATTGATTATGAATATCTTCAACATATTAAAAAGTAAAATACATATATATTAAACTCTTATGCGAAACAAAAAACAGGTCAGGCAAAATTAACCAATCTTTTGGTCTCCATTGTATTTTTCGTTTTTATTAAAATCCCGACTACAATAGTCTTAAAGGACGAGAAAAGCGTACATGTAAAACACCAAACATTGTTTTACAGAAGCATTCTCAATCATGCATACACTACAAAAGTCAAAAAGTCTGAAAAGACCAGTTTTTGTCTGAATTTGCATGAATTTTTACTCGACATTCTTAATTTGTCTGAACAATTTTTAAAAATTCTTGACATAGTATGAACTTATCTAATAAGGTTCTTGATTTTTCTTGACAAGTGTCTTGACAGTATGAACATTGTCTTAAAATTTCTCGACACTTCCTGTATCATCTGATAACGAGTCTGGATTAGTCTCGACCAATTCTTGACTGTCTTAAATTTGTTTCGATCTGTCTTGACATATTCTTGACATTCTTAATAATGTCTGAATATGTCTCGACATATTCTTGACATTCTAAATAATGTCTGAATATGTCTCGACACATTCTTGACAGTCTTAAATATTTCTTGACACTATCTCAACAGTATAAATTTCGCCTGAAATGTAAACTGACTTATTCTGCACTGTTTATGACATTCTATTGCTGTTATATACTCCTTTTTATTTTGGCTAAACTAAACTTTGAAGAATCAAGGATTAATTTGATATAGTAAGATACCCTTTTGGTGCAACTAAGTTGGAATACCCTGAATAATCCCCCATGTACTTTAATTTTGATTTATTTTTATTAAACATTTAAGTAATTGTTTTCACTTGGAATATAAGTCGAAGGTATTGACAAACAGCATTTAGATTTTTGCCGTTCGCAAAACTGCCAGTCAAATTTGCTTTACTAAAATAGATGTGTTGTATCTCTTTTGGATGAAATATGTCTACAGTATGATTGGTTTGAATCATTTAATTTATAAGATTTAGGAATCAAAATTTGTAATTATTTAAAAACCCACATTGAAATTGTTTTATTTCAACACACCCACATTTGAATTATTTTATACTTTAGATTTCATAGCCATATTTGCATTTGTAAAAATATTAATATACCCAAATTTTCAATTATTTTACATGCCCAACTTTTATTTTTGTTGTAAAGAAGTGTAACTTGAAACAACAGTATATCATATAAAGAGAAATAAAGATTAAAGTTATATCATGAATATTGGTCATGATTTGTAAAACTCAGAACTGTCAAGTAAATTTAAGACACGATTCAAAATGTTCAGAATATGTCAAGCCATACTGAGAAAAAATAAGAATGTCGAGAATATGTCGAGAAATTTCATGACAGTATTCAAATGTCAAGAATTTGTCAAAAAATTTTAAGACCATATTCAGAATGTCGAGAATATGTCGAGTAAATTTCATACAAATTTAATATAAATGAGAATTTGTCAAGAAAAATTAAGACACAAGACATACTTTTGGAGAATGTCGAGTAAAAGTTCATGCAAATTAAGACAAAAACTAGTCTTTTCAGACTTTTAGACTTTTGTAGTGATAGTCATAGGTAAATTGGTATCATTTTGGGCGCGTTTTAACGTTCATTTTGCATAATGTCTTTTTGACGCTTGTTAAGACATAATCGCTGACGACTAGAGTTTTATAACATATGAAGGAAGAAATCCCCAAAAATACCTCATCACGGTTTGATGTAGCTTTATCATTGCGAGTTTATCCTTTTGGAGGTTTGTTGTGATGGACTATCTATCATTGACTTATTTAAAATCATAGCTTAACTTTACCACACTTCAGAAGATTGAAAAACAGTATAGAAACTTGTCTTATTTGTTCTTTTACACCCGTGTATTTGAGATTTGATTTTAAAGTATTGTATAGTTTCTACATCCGACCAAAACCGTGTGTTGCCCCCTTGGTTTTTGGTTTGTTTGTTTGAATTCTTAATAGTTTGGCGGCTTTCGTACGTTTTATGTATTGTAGTTTTTTTATATCTAATAACATCTCCCGTTAAACTGTTGACGTTTTGATTGATGATAAAGCTGGTATTCCATAACAAAAAGCATATACAATGTTAAACAATGTACACTGATAAAAGGCAGAAACCCAGTCGAAATTAAACAAAAGAAATGGATATGGTTTTTAGAGAAGGTACAAAAAGGCGAGGTTGGTAAATTTGAATTGTTTACATCTGTTTCTCATGTTGCTATGGGCGTTAAAAGTTTAATGAATGTGCCTAATTTAGGATTGTGTTTTTACTTAAATTATTGAATTGAGCTTCGAGATATTTGTACACTTAAGTCGATTGTGGTAGGTGCAAATTTACGTGGATCTTTTTTGTGCATAAACATAAATTCCGCCGAAAAAAATCCAAAGAAAGATAATAGATTTATCGTTTTAAAGCATCAATTTGCGTCCCTGCTCCTGGTGTCATTTTTTTAGGAAAACTTTCCAAAATAGGCAATGATTTCATTGAAAAGAGAAAGTCGAGTACACCTTTTTAGGTTCAGGCGTGTTTGAGTTGACTATTCTGTCTTGAAAACGTATAAAAGAAAAATATTAGATACATCATCTCGTTTCAGATTCTATCATTTTTATATATTTAGGCTGTGGCTATAGGTTGATACAATAACATTAAAAATTTACAGTACAAAAAGATGAAATATATGGGTCAAGTGAAACTCCTTCCTAATGAGTCATAACCACAGAGTAGGTGTGTTCGAATACATTGTTTTTACTAAAAGTACTTGACGACAAACTTTTCTGGTGGATCTTAAAAATGCATAACTTCAAAAAACTTCATTTTGTACGTGTGTTATCTAGGGTAATTAGTCTTCAACCTCTGAAAATTCTAAGTGTGCCCTTCCATGAAAAATCTAATTAATTTTTTTATAAATGAAATTTATCGGTTTTCAAAGCTAAATTGACGGATCATCACTACAATCGCTTCCATTTTTACGATTATAAAATTTAATAGGCGCAATGGGAAGATAATTTGACGAAGTAGAATCCTGACTGATAAAGTATTATTTGAATAGTTATTTCGTCACGACATGTGTCATCAAAATATGGTCAAAATACAAACAAGAAGAAATTTGAAAATATATTTGCGACTTATATTACATGAACTATCATCTTGATCACTGATACGATGATTTCCAATAGACTGAAATGCAGCTCAAAATTTAATTGATTCTACGTTTAAAACAAATATTAAAACATTCACATTTATGTAAAAAGTTAAATCACAAAAATACTGAACTCCGAGTAACATACTGTATTTTTTATTTCTCCTTAAATGTCTACTCTGCAGATGTAACCAAGATGACGACTATTTTTATACGGGCGAACAGTGTGATGAAAAAACTGAAAAAATCCAATTTGAGCCTAACTATATTATAGCGGCTGCATGTGGAAGTAGTGGATTTGTAATCATTGTAGCTGTTATCGTGTGCATTGTCTGCAGACATAAAGCAACCGAAGATAAAGATAAAACAGACCTGTATATGTAAGTCCTAAGAATAAACATGGTTTTGGTCTATAATATTTTGGAAAACACTTGATAGGTGATACACTATTGACTTATTTCAAAGGGGTTCCAGTATACATATTTAAAACCATAAGTAAATCCATTCATTTGGTGAAGTCATCGAAATAATTGGCAACAAAAATGCAATCTAAAGCGAATAACCTTCAAAAATATACATGCATCAAGAAAAAAGGCGCAAAAAGAAAACAAATTATATTTTAGGAGTAAAAATCACGACAGAGAAGAAAAATGTTCTCAAAGTAGAAACAGCACAGGCACTACAAACTGCATCATAAATTTTGTCCAAATAAATAAGTTTTAATCTACACAAACCCCATTCACGAATTCGTGGTAAACCCATGGAGTATTAAAGAATGGGCAGTTCATTGTTCTATAACGGCCTCATCAATATGACCATGACAAAGTTAACTTCAGATATAAGTTCTAATCATTAATTTCAAAATGAAAGTGCATAAGATAACATAGAAAAATGATCATTCCAATCATAATGACGTCCATAAAGCTTACGAGGTAATCATCTAAACGTCAAGCTATTTTTATTGTTTAGACCAAACACCAAAAATAGTTGAAGGCTTATTAGAGAGTTGGGAACATACGCTGTACATCATTCTTTTCTTAAAAAGGACGCCACATAAAGTCAATCTTCTACGACTTTTTGAGGTATTTAAAATATAAAACTGATGTAGACAACGTCAGTTTTATATTCGGTGATGAATCATACATAAACCTAAGGCGACATTTTTTTACAGGACACGTAAATGTAAGGTCATAAAGAAATGTTGTAGGATTAGTACAAATAAAAATGCAATACATTGCGAAAAGGAATGTTATCAGCAGGTTACTAGTAATCTGAATAACTGTATTGTAATTCTAGAACAGAACATGATACCTTAAGCTACAACCATCCGACTGGTCTCTTGGGCCGACAGAGAACACCATCTAATTTGTATTTGTCAATGCGCGATAGCACATACAACATTGACAACAGAAATTATGAATTGGTTGAAGTTGAGAAAAATAGCAGGGGGAACGTAAGTGTATTTTCATTTGTGTTGGAAAATGTCCCTCTTAAGCATGTGTAGTGAATTGTCTAGCTTACGAAATTTTTATCCTGGTATCTATGATGTGTATATTGATATGTAGTCCTTGATCAATTAGCAGGATATTGAGGTCATGGACTGGGTTAAGGTCATATTCTAAACTTTACTTGCAGTATTGTAAATTCATATATTTTTGCGTGCATTTATTATTTTTTACCTTTGCTATAACTTCATACCAGTACATGATGGAGCCATTTAGTTATTTAATAAATATAGAACGCCACAGCTGCCTTATGATGCCGATAATCATATCAATAATGGTTGAGATATAACATGAGGCAATTTTTTGATACTATTACGACATTTGACTATACTACTCTGTAAATTTGCTATATCACTAAGATAATTTCATATACTATAAAGACGTTTTGATATAACATGGAACTACCTTTTCATACTGTTCTATCATTTTACTTTGTCATGAAGACATTCTTTTATTCTAAGAAGATATCTTGATATCAGATGAAGCTACCCTTTCATACTATTCTGTCATTTTACTATACTATGATGCGATATTGCTATATCAAAAAGATACATTTTATGCTATAAAGACGTCTGTATATAACAATGATCAACTTTTCCATACTATTTTGTCACCTCACTATACTATTATGTCATGTTACTATCTTATTACGATAAATCTCTATACTATACAATCATCTCGATATTACATAGAGCTTTTTCATGCTATTCTGTCAAATAGCTATCTTATGAAGACATATCGTAATATCAAGCTACCAATTTCTTATACGGAGATGTGTCATTTATATACCAGTAGACTATTTGATTACACTACAAGACCATTACATCGAACTATCAGAAGACAATTCAATAAATAGCGGCAAAAATATTATATTTCATATTTTTCCTTTTTTTTTATTCTGTGTTTTCTGTAGGTTCCAGTATGGCCAAAATAGTCTGTAGATCCACCTGTTTTAAGCAAGTTGGGGGGGGGGGGGGGGGTCTATTAATTTCAATTTTTAACAATCTCTAGGAAATTTACATTATTTCTCCAAAATACAAATTTAAAAATTGAAGAAAGTGTTCATGAGACACAGATCTCTTCCACATAAGTTCTAAACGAACATATCTCTTGAGCGGTAACAGTTACCGAACTTGCTCTGTATATTGTGGTAATAAGCATTGTGTATACGTTTTAAATTATCAACCAAGGCAAGGGACATATGTACATGATGTACGTTCGAACGTAGGGACGGACGGATTAACGGATGGACAAGGGTAACACTAAATCCCCCCTTCGCCTAGCTACAGGGGCATACAAATAATATTAAATCAGAACAAAGTTGGGCGGTTGCAGATGTGTGGGCTGCGAGATGGATATTAATCGGAGCATCATGCAAGTGTATATTTAAATTAAAGAAGTTGTTCGCCTAACCTTTTCTTAATTAAAGGACAAATAACATATATAAAGTTGGCAGTTGATGATGAAAATGGTGTATAAAAGTTTTGGCAAGTCATAAACACTTAAACTTAATTATTTTCTTGACATTTCTTCAACTTAGAATGTTGCACTATCTCCAAATCCGGAGTGATCACATAGATCCAGCATGGCTGAATTAAAAAAAAAACTTTAGATAGAGGTCTTAATGCTTTTGAATTTGTAAACGGCATCTTGGACTAAGAATTATGCAAGACATTCTTAAGATACAGTGTGACATGTGAAAAATTACCTCACTCCTTTTTAAATGAATAAAGTCAATAACTGTAAAAGAAAAAAAATCGAAATTCAACAAAAATTATACAGACCATAAATAGATACAAGAAGGTGTGGTATGAGTACCAATGAGACAACTCTCCGCCCAAGTCACAATTAGTAAAAAGTAAATTATAGGTCAAAGTACGGCCTTCAACACGGAACCTTGGCTCACACCGGACAGCAAGCTATAAAGGGCCCTCAAATGACTTGTGTAAAACCATTTGAAGAGAAAACCAACAGTATATAAAAACGAGAAAAGAGAAACACTTATGAACCACATCAACAAACGACAACCACTGAACAACAGGCTCACAAGATTGTCATAACAAACAACTTTGTAAATTGTGAAGGTAATGAAGCAAGACATTCTCAAGATACAAGTGTGACATGTGAAAAATTGCCTCCCCCTTTTCATATGAAAAAGTCCATAACTCTTGTAGGAAAATTTAAAAATAAAAAAAAATAAATTATATATATATAGCATTAGTCTATCATTAAAACAACCGTGTAAAGCTTGAAGTTAATCAAGCAAGGCATTCTTAAGATACAGCGCAACGTGAAACACCCTTTTTTAATGAATAAAGTCCATAAAACTAAAATGAAATGTTAAAATTTCCCCAAAAAGAATAACAGACCTTGACACATTCACCACAAATAACTGATAAAATTGAGAATGGAAATGGGGGATGTTTCAAAGAGATAACAACCCGACCAAAGAGCAGAAAACAACCGATGGCCACTTATGGGTCTTCACCACAACGTGAAAATCCCGCAACCAGAGGCGTGCTTCAGCTGGCTTCTAAACAAAATGTACAGTTTTAAAGTTATTTGACAACAGCTCAACCCTGGTTGGAGTAAATATTATTTGCACGCCCCCGCCGCTAGGAGAAGAGGGCATTAAGTGTTAACCCTGTCCATCCTTTCGTACGTCCGTCCGTCCGTCTGTACATACCTCACGAAATTGGTTTCCGTTCTCAACTTTAGTTTGGCTTTGCCGAATCATTTGAAACTTATACACAATGCTTCTAACCACAGTATACGGATCGAGACGGAATTTGGGTTTTGTATCTTTTTCGGCTGATGAGTTATGCTCCTTGAAAACTTTTAAAGTTTCAATTTTTGTGGTTTCCGTGCTCTAACTTTAGTTTGCCATGGCCGATTATTTGAAACTAATACACAATGCTAATTACCACAATAAACAGATCAATTTTGAATTTGGGTATTGTAACTGTTACCGTTCAAGAGTTATGCCCCTTTAGAACGTATGTGGAAGAGAAGGCATCTGTGTCCCATGAACACTTAATGTTAATTAATGTTAGAAATAATGTAAATTTCCTTAAGATTAAAAAAAATCAATGATCATCAAAATTCACTTGATGTGTCCTACTGGAATTTCTTAAAAACACAGAATAAAAAAAAAATAATTAAAAATATGTAATATATTATTTTCGCCGCTATTTATTGAATTGTCTTCTGATAGGATAGTACGATGAAATGGTCTTGTAGTGTAATCAAATAGCATCTGGTATATAAATGACATCTCGTGGTATAAGAAACTGGTAGCTTGATATTAGAATATGTCTTCAAAAGATAATAATATGACAGAATAGTATTAGAGAGTTGCTCTATGTTATATTGAGATGATTGTATAGTATACAAATTTATCGTAATAAGATAGTAGCATGACATAACAGTATAGTGAGGTGACAAAATAGTATGAAAAAGTTGCTCAATGTTATATTAAGATGTCTTTATAGTATAAAATGTATCTGTATGATATAGCAATGTCGCATAATAGTATAGTAAAATGACAGAATAGTATAAAAGGGTAGATCCATGTGATATTAAGATGTCTTCATAGTATAAAGGAAAGTCTTCATGACAAATTAAAATGACAGAATAGTATGAAAAGGTAGCTCCATGTTATATCAAAACGTCTTTATAGTATATGAGTTTATCTAAGTGATATAGCCAATTGACAGAGTAGTATAGTCAAATGTCGTAATAGTATAGAAAATTTGCTTCATGTTATATCTCAACCCTTTATGATATGAGTATCGTTATCATAAGGCAGCTGTGGCGTTCCATAGATAAAGGTTAGCCGGAAATAACACCGAGCAAACGTATCAAATCAAAAGTAGTTTTGCACTTATTTCAAGAAAAAAAACCTTACAATCATATCCATTCGGAATCAGTGTAAAGAAGGGTAAATTATGACACATAAAGTGCCTTTCCGTCTACCAGAAGCGGTAATCAGCATATCGGAATAAGCTGATAAGTTGCCTTATTTAGAGAAAAGTAATTAAACACCTTTTATTTTGATTAAAGTGTCATAAAATTTGTCATATGACAACAGAAGTTACATGTTGTAAATCGTGAGAGGCTTTTTGTTATCCTAATTTTAAGTGAAAGTATATTATAGAATTCATGTGCTTTATGAATATCAATGACGCTAATTATTTCCAATTTTTATTTAATTCTTGTTAAAACTATTGCTTTTTATTCATTGTATGATGAACTATCTTCCGAACAGGTGTTCAAAATTTTACAATAATTTTGTTTTTCAACAATATAAATTGGAGAGTTGAAAGACATGCAATAGTTGTGTTTTTTTATCATTTTATTTTCTATCAACCAGACTTATATGTATAATCCTTCTGCGGACCAACATTTGAATACAGAAATTGACAGCAGATCTGACAAAGCTTATCATTACACATCGTTTTGTTCTGAAGAGGTAGGGTCACAAAAGTATTTATTAAGAATGAAAAATATAATTTATAGTTTAATATATGCCAATTTAGATCGGCAGGTTCAACATTAAACAAAAAACACTTTTATCAGACGCATTAATGAGACCCCAACTAATGAATTTTGTTTTTTTTTATGCCCTACCTTGGGGCATTATCTTTTTCGGTCTGTGCGTCCGTTCGTCCGTCTGTCGCGCTTCAGGTTAAAGTTTTTGGTCAATGTAGTTTTTGATGAAGTTAAAGTCCAATCAACTTGAAACTTAGTACACATGTTCCCTATGATATGATCTTTCTAATTCTAATGCCAAATTATAGTTTTGACCCCAATTTCACGGTCCACTGAACATAGAAAATGATACTGTCCCGCTTCAGATTAAAGTTTTTGGTCAAGTCAGTTTTTGATGAAGTTGAAGTCCAATCAACTTGAAACTTAGTACACATGTTTCCTGTGATTCGATCTTTATAATGTGAATGACAAATTAGAGTTTTTACCCCAATTTCACGGTCCACTGAACATAGAAAATGATAGTGCGAGTGGGGCATCCGTGTAATATGGACACATTCTTGTTTTTTTTATTGTTACCGTCTTTTGTCAAAGGTAAATGCACTGTTTTATTCGAATCGACCAATTGTTTCAGTTTTAAATGTCCTGTAATATCTTCCGCTTCTTATTTCACCGATCAATGTAAAATCTCTTGCATTAATGTTAATATTATAACAACACAAACTTTTATTGTACATTGTAAATATCTTTTAGAAAAATAGATCGAATCATACTTTTAACTATTTGAGCTAGACAAGGGAAACATGCTTTCAATTTAATAGGTTTTAATTAGTTATTAAGACTACGAACACAAAAAAAGTATTTTATTATATGTTGTCCTTTTAAAAAAATGAAAATGCAACATTGTTAGAGTAAATAAAGCTTCCTTTTGTCTTTTTATGATGTAGTTTGCAATAAAAAGACCACAGATCCGAGCTAATACAGATTATAAGTATAACGTATACAATAGGTAAGAAATATTTCGATTTCGTACAACAACATAAACAACTATATCTGTACGTGTAAATATGTTCTTAAAATATAGGCGGTGTACAACAACCAGACCATAGTGATGCAACAGTCTAAAACCACCAATGGGTCTTCAACGTAGCTATAACTGGAGGTATGTTTCAGCTGACCCTTATACAATAATGAATCCCTTTTCTGCGAAAAGGAAGCCACACTAAATTCCGAAACTCACAAATGAACCAAAAAACAAAACACGACTAATTTGTTTCTAATTTTATTGTATTCATTTATACACTTTTATTATGTATGCAAGTATTTTCATGGTCGATTACTGGAATACATTTAATGTCTTAAATTCTGCAGTCAACTAAACAAAAGCAGAAACAATCATATCATTTCCAACAGGATCACATCAAATTTCATCTTACTTGTTCAAATATGCAGGGACTTTAAACATGATTGTCAATAATGCAACTATATATCCACTAGAGACAAAAGGACGTGGATGAAAGGAAGTACATTTTCTACAATAAACAGTCGGACAATAAAACATTTACATACACCACTGGATATCAAAAGTTTTAAAAATATGAATGGCCAGAAACAGTTCATTATATTCACTTTTTAATGTTCTTAAAGTAAAATTTTATGTAGGAATGACTAATGCTACTCGACTTAAACAGACTGTTTACTTTTGTCATTCATTACCAACATTTGTTTTTTATATTTTCAGACCAAACTCACACCGACCTGATTACATGTAATGAATTCATTGAATCATACTGCATGCTTGGTTGAAAGATCTACATATTGACGCATAATTATTTTATAATCCAGTTTTCACACATAATATGCATGCATTTTTCTATAAACACTTGCATCACCATGCATAAATATTATTCTAGAGAATGAAGGATTACGTCCCTCTTTTGTCTTGTAGTTTTCCATTAGTCTATGTTTTAGGGGTTTAACTATTTCTTAATCTCGATCAATAATCTTTGAATGAGTACATACATGAACATACTTTGAAAATCATTAACAGCAAATATCGTATAGGACACAACAACGAGTTTATTGCATGTACTGTAATAGTTATGTCACAGAGGACCACGTATATGTTATAATACTGTCGTAATCACAATACTGTCATATTTGCCTGGATTAGCAAATATGAACACACCAGGAGCAACATAACATGATTTCTCTCACAGAGTGGAGTTTCTGTGCACATCAGTATTTAATTTTTTTTTGTTGCTGTTTAAGGACTTGTTTGCCTTTTCATTGTCTTTTTGTGTTTTACCATGACATGGTCAGTTTTTCTACGACTTGTGAAATATAATTGTTTACCTCAATTTAAAAACAACTGCAGTTTCTAAGAACAAGCTGAAACAATATTGAATACTGAGAAGAAATAAAATAGTCCTACACTGAACTATTGGTTCATTTCTATCAATAAATAATTTTTTATTTTCTATTATTAATTGCGAAATATATGACTTTTGATGCGTCGTATTTCAATATTTTTTTGTATGTCTTTTAGGACATTTTTGATTACGGAGAATGTTACATGGTTCATAGCAGACCATGGAGTCTTATATCTTGCCATATTTTAAAGTATATTGTTACATACTGTATGACCCATCTAGATGTCTTATGGTGTTATTTTTAATTTTTTGTTGGTTTGATGTTTGACATATATCTACATTCTCATTTAATCAATATTCAATACGTTTCATATTTGACAATTTTAAATTGTGTAATCTATTGTTTATTATATAAATATGTATATTATTACTTTATAACTATTTTGAGATACATTTTTTTTTGTAATTTCGAAATATACTCGGAAATGAATTATTGAATATCTAGTTATGACATGTTTCAATCAATAGCCAAAATTTTTGTTTGATTTGAACACTTAAATGATCGGGACTCTTTAAGATTGCAGAACAAACCATATGCAATTATCTGTTTTATCTATTGGTATCATAAATTTCGCTTTTCATCTGATTTCACAAATTTAAAATGATTACAGTTACTCAGGGGTTGAGGGTTGCAATAACCTTTCTGCAATAAGGTTTGTCAGATTCGCTAAAGTCAACGATCTTACTTGATGACTTCCAAACTTGTTGTGTCTTATGTTTAAGCACTTTTTTATAATTGTATTTCACTCAATGATTGCTTTCTAATGTTTGCAAGATAATCTCTTGTTTAAACAACAACAGTCGAGGCAAATAGGAAATTGCATAATATTATGAAATATCCTAATTTGAATGACTAGTAATAACTATTTCCCAATTGTATAGAGCATGACATATGGTATAGACTATTGTTCAGTGTATGTTCACTGGTGTTAATATGTCCTTTGATTGAGTTAAGCTATTTCAGTTGATATTTTATAGTGTGTCTTTCTATGTTGTGATGTTACACTATTGTTTCAGAAAAAAGGGTGAAGGATTGGTACCATTAAAACGTTTAAACCCGCTGCATTTGTTTGTACCTGTCCTAAGTCAGTAATCTGCTGTTCAGTAGTTGTCGTTTGTTGATGTGGTTAATAAGTGGTTCTCGTTTCTCGTTTTTTATATAGATTAGACCGTTGGTTTTCCCGTTTGAATGGTTTTACACTAGTAATTTTTGGGGCCCTTTATAGCTTACTTGTTCGGTGTGAGCCAAGGCTCCGTTTTGAAGACCGTTCTTTGAACCCAAATGGTTTACTTTTATAAATGTTGACTTGGATGGAGAGTTGTCTCATTGGCACTCATACCACATCTTCTTATATCTATGTATTGAAAACCATTTGCTATAGATGGTTTTTGGCTTGTTAGTTGTTGTATTTTTTGCCTTTTGGGTATTATATTGTTTTCTTATTACATATAATTCATCTTCCTCAAATTTTATTTAAGTCATACTCTGAAATCTACAGATTTTAGACACCAAAGAGCACTTTTGCAACTCTATGATTGATTGATAGATTGTTGGTAATTAACGCCACATTCATCACTATTGGCTCTTTATATTGATGAAGGAGCCGGCGTTCCAGGAGAGAACAACCGACCTTCGGCAAGAAAACTGGCATGCAATTCTATTCAATTAAGATGAGAGTCAAACGCAAATGTTTCATGGGGGTTTGAACTCACAATCTCAAATTGACAGTACAGCCGAGTCCAACCAAAGATTTGAACATTGCTATTTGATGCGTCTTAATTGAGTACGTGTCCTTTAGGAGTAGGAGCAAACACTAGTCGGATCGGAGTCAGAGTAACGTGTTACACATGTAATGTTTACTGTCTTCCAATCGATTTATTTGTGTCCATATTTTTGTAATGAACTACTCTGTTATAGCGGGAAAATGTTCTTACAATTGAAGAGTTCCGTTTTAGAGTGTTTACAAATTGTCTCATGATTGGGAAATTTCAACCTTGTCTTAAAAAAATTGCCTCATTTTACGGATTGGATTTACACCTACAAATATAATGCATTAAATAACTTATATAACAATCACTGACGAGAAAGCGACCCTTCATGGAGACGCTTGATCAAGTGTGCGCTTTATTAAATACGACTCTATCCTAAGGCAAATACTCTATTACCTTCACGGAGACGCTTGATCAACTGTGCGCTTTATTAAATACGACTCTATCCTATGGCAAATACTCTATTACCCTTCACGGAGACGCTTGATCAAGTGTGCGCTTTATTAAATACGGATGGTTGTTATGTACAAGACGCCATAGTTTATTACTTTGAATTTGAAATTTAATCGACAGTAATAACAGAACATTCAGTATAATAAATTAAATAACACATATCTGAGAGGGTGATAGAGCAGTGTGTTACCCCTCGAAAAGACATTGTCAACCTTGGCTTCGCCTCAGTTGACAATGTTTTCTCGGGGTAACAATCTGCTCTATCACCCTCTCAGCTATGTGTTATTTATATAATGTCAAGCGATGCCGACCCATGAGTAATAAAGAACGTAAACACGATATGATTACCTACAAATTCATTAAAAGAAGCACATATATGCTGTTCTGTTTTATGAAACAAAAATAATCTGGCCTATTCAGTTGCTAAACAATAATATGACTTCATCTACAGCAAGTACGACATGTATGATGTTATTTTGTCTTCGCTCGCTAAAAAGATTATCCACACATTGTCAGATTGTAGTGTACTAGTACCTCACTTTCAAGATCTATGGACAAACCGACATACAGGACAGGACACACTTGTTAAACCTTAACCGAACACTTAAACAAATATTTACATAGAAGACATTTATGATAAAATATCGAAAGGACAAAATAGAAAAGAATTTAAAAATCAAATGCTAAGAGTGTGTATTAGTATATATAGGATTGGTTCATTCAAATGTTGAAAAAAAATATTCTTGCTTTGGATTGACTGAAAAAAATATTCTTGCTCGGTTTGCATGATAAAAAAAATCTGGCTTGATATAAGAAAGAAAGTCAAATGGTCCATGTCTAATTGAATGAAAAAAAATCTAATGGTTTTTCATGAGTTAGATCATTATACCAAAACTTCAATCAAAAACTCATTAAAACTATGTATGTAAATAGTAAATAATAATAAGTCAGTGTTTGAAATATTTGTTAGAAATTTCAAACTTTTTGTTAGTAGGAATGAGCAGCTGAGACGCCAAGTACCCAACCCTTTTCATATATTTTGTTTACAAAAATATATACCTTATCATACACAATTAACAAAAAAAAAAAACAGACCTATACAGCTTACTGTTTGGTGTGAGCCAAGGCACCGTGTTAAAGACCGTACGTTGACTAGACTTGCTACATGTCCCTTCCTTATTATATTTATTTTCAATTTTCTCCTTTAACAATTTTACTACTACAACTAAGAGATTACCATCATACTGACATTTGCAGAGAAAGGTCTGTTTCTAAGGACAATCAGTATACTGACAGTTTTCAGTAAATATATAGATTAGTAAGAAAGAAATAAAAGAAAGGGAATTGTAGCAAGTCTATTTTTTAGCCTATAATGGTTTACTTTTACAAATTGTGACTTAGATGGAGAGTTGTCTCATTGGCACTCATACCACATCTTCTTATATCTATAGATATATTTGGATATATTTCATCTTCTGGTACATAACTATGTAGATTTTTTAGGGTTCCGCTCATCGTCAGGTTCTTGTTTAGAAGCAACGCAGTCGTAATACTAGACGTGTTACGAAAAGGTATATACTCGACGCTGAGGTTGGCAAATAAGACTTAAAATGAGGAGACTGTGTCAAAACATTGATTATCGATTAAAACAGGTAAAATTCAATTTGAGTTATGTTAACCGGGTATCCTACACACAAGTCTTGATTCATTAAAAGTTATACAAATTGAGTATAATCAGTTTCTGATATCATTGCTTTGGATAGATCATAGGATGGGCAAGGGGTGAGTATTTGTGTGTGTGTGTGGGGGGGGGGATTTTTTTACTTTATTCATTACGATATCAATCTGTCACTCCACTACTGTACCTCGTTCCGAAAAGCATGAAATATTTGTAACTGGACCAAAACATCCAAACAACATTCAATATAATATAATAAATCTAGGCAAAACCCGCATAAAGCTCTACAGTCTGATTGAATTGTTTTCGGATGTCTCCATAGGCTTCCACCGATTTTGGAAGTTGAAAAAGCATGAAATATTTGTCACTGGGCGAAAAAAACAAACAACTTTCAATCAATCTCTGCAAAACCTGTACAAAATTATACAGTCTAGTTGATTTTTTTGCAGATTTCTTCATAGGCTTCCACTAAATTTTTCAGCGTCTAATAGCGTGTTTCAAGTATACCTTACACCCGAACGATAATTGCAAGTTTATTTTTTACATTATATTTTTTTCTGCTCTTGTTCTACACGTAGCTCTAAGTTGATGGCGCCAATAGAGGATAACGAACGGAGAACGACATCCGGTATTTCTATTTTACCTTATATGACTAAATTCCAGGGAAATCTTATTTCATACGTGGCAAATAAAAGGCAGTATATTAAACTGTTGAAAATCATCCTGTTGATATAAGAAACTACTCCGTGTGAATATGATGTGATTTCTAGTGTCCACAACGGATCGAACCAGTCACATTTTACATGAATATAAGATAAAGGAAATTAATTCCTGTGTAGGTATTAACAGATTAGTATACATAAAATCATTTCCAATGTCCAATAAGGGCTAATGAGGCACTAGAGATTAGGAGTTTATTGCTCAAAACGGGTTCCCTCTTCTCCTGCTCGACTGCATGTCAGCCCGCCCGCCAGCTAAATTTCGTAATATTGTATCACAGTCAGTTTTGCATTCAGTACAACCCGTCCAAAAGTTTTGAACACGGGTAAACACACCTTTAATGAAATGTTCGTCACTATTGAGTTCGAAAAAAAAGAAATAGCAAGTTGCTTTATTTTTTATGGATTAGCGAGGATTTTTTTTTCTCCCATCCATTAATAATCCTTTTTTCTCGAATTTTAAATCCTTTCTGCAATACCCTCTCCTCCTGTCAGTGTCCCAAAATACAAAATAGGAAGAATAATTATGTTGTAGATTATAATTATATTCTTCACGAAATAATTACTATTGAGTATTTATTCCAAATACAACACCTTGCTTTTCAAATAAATTCGTCATTTCTTTAACACTTTTCTCTATTACCCCTTTTATATCTTTTATTATGAAGAAATTTTAATTTCAAAAGACAATTAAAGATGTTTGATCAGATAAATAAATTAACAGCCCAGACAGTAGCTAACGCTTTCATTGAGTTTAATATTAATGAAAAACGGATAAAAAGTTACTTTGCCGTTCCCTCTTAAAGATTGAAATAAACAATTATTTTCCCCATAGGCGACAATGATAGCCTTTTTCGAGATACAGGCTTTAGAAAGTTGATTTTTTTAACGAAACCTTGCTAGAATTAAAGAAAAGTTATTAGGACAGTATTTTTTGGTCCAAAAAATATAGGTTCGCGTTGCTTTTCTTAGCGTAATTTGTACATATCTCCCATGCCTATCAATTTTGCACTTAAAAATACGTGTCTCATCCTAGCGTTTAAAAGACATCAATCAGTTCCGTTATGGCTAAGGAAAATAATTTATTTGGCCTTTGGTATAATGCAGAATGCACGAAGTCTCTAATAACAAAAAATAACGGGCGCACATATCAACCAATCATGATTAGCTATACTCTTAATTCTGAATACCAAGTTATGCTCATAAAATGGCTGCGTCCCTAAAATCTAATGGTTTATTGTAACCTATACGGTATTTAATACTTTCTAGAATCATGCAATTCATAGTTCGTTAGATGCACAAATATATATGCCACACAAAAATCATCTTCAAAACGTTCTGGCATTTCTCTCTGAATTTTCACAATTTTTTATCAGAGGTGACCCCAGTCAATAATTTAAAATCTAATGGTTTATTGTAACCTATAGGACGCTAGCTGTCA